TTGGCAGGGTTTATATTTTTAAATCAGGGTCCCTGATTTCCAGCTTCAGCCGTTTCCAGCATCAGCCGCGACATTTAATAAAAAATTAAGTAAAAAGTCGTTATTTACGCCTCTAATAACTTTACTAGGAGTAGAATATTGTCTAGCTGACCATTTAAAATTTTTCGTGCGTGTGCATCAGCTTACGGAATGTTAATGATCAAAAACGTACTAGCTAACTCGGGGGTGCTACGTAACTAAAATTTAGGCCTATGTTTTTACTATAGTTTGGATTTCCTAACCCCTAACCATAAACTTTACTATATATATACAGTAGCAAACTATATTAAAAAATATATGTGAAAACCACTAAAATTTAGGCAAAATTTGCTTCTAGACTTATTTAATGATAAAAAAATTGTCGGTTTAATTCTGGGTATCATTTCGCAAACTATATAGCATTTGAAGGTTCTTATGAAATTTTAAGTGTGGTTAAAAATAAGGCGGAAACAGAGATATAACCAATTAAAATCTAATTACATCACGTGCCGGAGCCTTTTAGAAATTTCCTATTCATATACAGTATTACTATGGCCCAATGAAAGTTTGCATTATGCTGTGTATATGTTATATACTATATAAATAGGTTTAGGAAAGTTGTAAAGTATAGTTCTATTTTACGTTTTATCGTTGAATACCATGTCATGGAATACACCTCAGGGTGCTCTCCCATATGGTCAACCAAGGCCTTCCTTCCAAGTAAGCCACAAATTTCTAAAGAGTATTCTCCAAATACGTTAATCATAACTAATAAGAATGTTCTGAACGGCGAAATTTACAAATATTGAATATGATCCAATAGCCTTCGCAAACTAGACCTGGTTTTCAAGCTGCCACAACTTACGCAACTAGACCGGTCGCGAGTCAACCTTTTGCGCCAGGTCAAGCGCCCCCTTATGCAGCTACAACCGTATGTTATTTTATCTTTGCTCTATGGCTCCCTGTTGTACGCTTTTCCTTTAAGTATTTTGTATAACTAGGCGCGGGTTTGGACGGAGCATACTGCCCCAGATGGCCGCACCTATTATTATAACACCGTTACTAAACAAAGTAGCTGGGACAAACCTGAGGAACTGAAAACTCCTGAAGAGGTATTTTATCTGGAAATTTTTATGTCCTCATATGTCAAAGGGTTCGAGTAGCGTCGTTCTAAATTTGTTTTTGTAGCGAGCTTTAGGCTCTTGTCCTTGGAAGGAGTTTACCGCAGACGGTGGCCGCAAATATTTTTATAACTCTATTACTAAAGAATCTAAGTGGGAAATGCCTGCTGAATACAAAGGTAAGTCGTATATTAATGAAATAATTAGTCCGTTTGATAAAATTTTAAAATTTTAATTTGTATTATGTAGAATTTCTTGATAAATTGGAAATGGAAAAGAAACTATCACAGTAAGGATCTATTAATTACTAGTGATACATATTATTTAATAGTGACATTTTAATTCGAATTTTAGGAACAGTGAATCATCGCCTCAAGCTAATGGAAATATAGTTTCACCTAATCAACAAGATTTTGAGCGGGCTCGTCAATTGAGCACACCGGCAGTCAGCCCAGTTAATACAACTCCGATAAATGTTTCCGCTAGACCGCTAGGATTAGCTGGATCCCATATACCAATTGTTCCTATTCAGCAATCCGAGCCAGTAAAGATCGAATTCGATACTAAAGAAGAAGCTGAAGCTGCATTCCGCGAAATGCTTAAAAAATCTGTAAGTTATAAATCATATGTATAGATTAATTTTATTTATAGGATTGCGTTTTGACGTTTTCTACACAGGGAGTCAAGTCCGACTGGTCTTGGGAACAAACTATGAGAGCGACCATTTCAAACCCAATGTACCGTGCACTCAAGACCTTGAACGAACGTAAACAGGCGTTTGAAAGATATGTAGATGACCTTATCAAGAAAGAAGAGGTAAAAATTGTACATTAAAAAATATTTATATTCCTCATTTTCTTAATTGCTTTGCATTCAATAACAGGAGGAAAAGAAAGCAAAAATTATTAAAATTCGTCAAGATTTTATCTCATTACTAAACTCTCATCCCGATATCAATTCATCGACACGTTATAGGTATTTTCTTTAACATATAGATCTATGATAAATTTTCTGATATATTGACATCGATTTTAATTGCAACTTTAGAAAAGTATGTGATCTTCTTGGCGAAGAGCCAGCGTTCTTAGCGATAGATGATGATAGAACACGTGAGGAAATTTTCAGTGAATATGTATATGACTTAAGGAAACATGAAAAGGTGAACGATATTTCTATTTGTAAACTGGACCTAGCAAATGGACCAATTGGATATAGTCTAATTTCAATTAGAATATGTACAGTTGGTCCGATTGCTTGTCCAATTAGTCCAATTATATACTCTACTAAAACATTGTTACTTATATGCAGGAAATTCAACGAGCTGTTCGCAAAGAAAATAAGGAGAAATTTAGTAAACTTTTACGGTCTCTTTCAAACATCACCGAGGCTACTCGATGGGTCGAAGCACAAACCATATACATGAATACCCCCGAATATCTACAAGACAAATCTCTCCAAGAAATGGATATGTTGGATTTTCTGGCCGTATATGAGGAGCATATCAGAAATTTAGAGCGAGAGACGTCAGAGAGGAAAAAGCGAGAGGGTGAATTGCAAGCGAGACAACAGCGCAAAAATCGAGATGCTTACAGAGCTTTTATGGAAGAATTACGCCAAAAGAATGTGGTAACCGCAAAATCTAAATGGAAAGAAATATATCCACTCATCAATACGGATGAACGATATCAGAATATACTTGGACAACAAGGTTCCAATCCACTTGAATTGTTCTGGGATGTTGTTGAAGAGCTTGATGAGATTTTATATTCACACCGTAAAATTGTGAATGAGATTATGAAAGTACGTAAAATATGATATTTTAGTTAAAGTATTGTCAAATATAAAAGTGATATTTTTTTAATCTTTATCAACTTTAGTCAAAAGATATTTCAATGTCTTCTGGATTCACATTTGAAGAATTTCAAGAAATTCTCAGTTCAGATGAACGTATTTCCTCAGTTAATGAGTCTAATCTCAGAATAATTTTTGATCAGGCAAGTTATATAAATACATATCATTTTGGATATATGGCGAGTAACAAAGATAATAACGTAAATGGTAATTACATAATAGCTACAACGAAAGCAGGAAAGGAGACAACGTCGAAAATTAGATGCGTTTAAATCAATTCTCAAACATTTTGAATCAATGATTGCGCCTGAAGCTACTTGGGAACAGGTGTGAATTTACTTTAAACTTATGAAATTAACTGTTTGGATCAATTGCTTGATAATACTGAATATCTGCATACGACTGTAGGTGCGACCGATTCTGGAGAAAACCGAAGAATTTCAAGCAGTTGGTTCAGAAGAACAACGAGTAGAAATTTTCACCAAATTTATGGAAAGAGTTAAGGTAAGAGTAATATAAAATATCTCTCATATAATTCAAAGGTTTACGTTACGGTTCATTATAAATTTACCAAAAATTTTCGGTTCACTAGGAAAAGCATCTTGAAAAAAGCGGCGAAGACAGTGAAGAGGAAGAAGGAACGATCAAAGATGAAGATCTTGAAGAGGATCGACATGCATCGTCAGATCGTAAAAAAAAGCATAAAAGTCATCGTTCATATCACCATCGCCGGCCTCATCACTCTGACTATTCAGCTGACAGTGCTGATCTTTCTGATAAAGAGAAAGATGGCAGTGATAAAAGGAAACGACGAAAGGTAACATGGAACATAATTATAAATTATATATTTCTTAATAATGTTTATATCTAACATCACAGCATGTGCTATCTTTAGACAAAACTCAAGTACGAGTCCAGATATACAGAACCCAAATATCAAGAGTACAACAAATTTACTGATCCGAAACATGGTGAACATAAATCTCTGTCCCCAAAGTCAGAGATTATCAAGCAAACATCCCCGAAGCCAGAAGAATCAATTAAATTTCAATCGCCTATTCGAGATTTTCCTCAACGAGAGGTTAGCAAACATGCAGATTCAAGCGCGGAAGAAGGCGAGTATGTAGAACAATAAAATAAATTACCGTCTTTTATCAACATTTACTTCACTATTGTCAGTGTTATATTTTAGCTATGTGCAAAATCTTGAATACAATGAAGAATATGGCTTTGGGAATATGGATCCACGAAAGTAAAAGGTGAGATCTAGAATAATGTGATTGACTATCCTGAAGTGTGATAAATAAAGTGTCAAAATTTTCGATGAGTAATTGTTACAGCAATCAAGTTTCGTCCGGTTCATTATCGAGAAATTTACAGTTGATTTTTTATTAAAGCAGGTAAGTGATTTCGAAAAAAGAACTTATGCCATAGCCTTTTATAAATGAAAATAATGGTCAACGGGTCAGTAATTTATGAAGTATCGGATTATGTCTTCTGCCATCTCTGTCCATTGTATATAGCTTAAAAAAAAAAAATTGAAAAAATATGAAATGATTAAGTACAAAGTTATATTGAAATTTATTGTATAAAGGTTTGTCAAGTAGTTCAAGTGCCAAGTGTTGATAGTTTAGCTGCTAATTGGTAAGTGTTGCTACTACTCGAGGTCTATGTTAAAATATTTTCAGTATTGGCAAAACGTGGTTTAGAGATTTTTATTTTGTAAAGAGCGGAAATAAACGACACACTACTCAACATTATATCCGCCTCCATGTGATACCAGTCATGACCCTCTACATAAAATGCATATGCTACTAGCGGTCATAGAATATGTTTCCTTATAGGGATTAAAACGTTTACTTACTATATCAGATATAGTTAAATAAGTAGACGTATCTTATTTTTTTATAATTTTTGTAAAATAATTATATGGTATATACAGTATATATAGGGAATTACTATTTTACCATGGATTTTTCTATTTTCACCATAGCGATAGTACATTAAAATATTCTATTTTTAATTAATCAATCAAATTTTAAAAAAAATATTTTTTTTAGTTTAGATTATCAAAATCATATTAGTAAATCTAGGATCAAAGGCGTAGAGATAGTGATTTACTAATTACTGTTTATTTTAAACTGGCTGATATAATTATGATTAAGCTGGTTTAGTTAAGTTAGTTAATACAATATAATTACTATAGTTGGCTAATATGATTAAAGATTATATAATACGTAGTAAATTCTTTTTTTTTTAATTTTTTTGGTTGATTTTTATTAGATATAGTATATTCTAATAAAAATATATATAAATATATATATTTTGTTATTGCTAATAATTTAAAAGTTTTGTTATACTATTATAGTTACTACTATATTTATATCTTATATTTAAGATTAGTTTGTAAATTTTTTATTTAAATTTTTTAATTTAAGTTTTCTAATTTTAATTTCATTTAAAAGTAGGGTGTACAAATTTCTAATTTCATATAAAATAGATTGTAGATCAACTTTGTATAATGAATTTTTATATGATATCACATGATTTACATGTAAACATCATATGATTTGACCAATCAGAATAGCAATTTTTTTGTACTACCTAAAAAAAACATATAGTGTAATGTAACAAGTTAGACCTTTGGTTAATTAGCTACAATACTTGACTAAGTGTATGAGTAGTTAAGAAATGTATTTGTATAATTTATGATAAAAATAGTTTATAGGTAAAATAGATTATTGTCGACTTATTG